TTAAAAACTAGAACAAATTTAGATGGATCACAAGCAAGATTAAATTATAGGGCGCTAAATATTACCCTAATTGCATCTGTAACAATCCACTTTCCAATATATTCTGTGTTAGGAAGGCTATTCATATCCCTGCTTCGTGGTCAAAGGGGATTCCCTAGGGGCTTAATCATGTATACTTCTCTTTCAGTTTTAGAAATTGAAACAGCTTTAAAATGAGTCTAAAGGGTGATTGAGTGATTCTACCTTTTGACCTAACTGCGTCTGCCATAATCAAATTTATAATGCTGTCTGATTACAGGGCTATTACCTTCCTCAACTAAGATCTGCAGGGATTCACTAGAGGCTAAAATTCCACGTGGTCCCTGTAAATGGATTTTGGGCTTCCACTGTCATCCATAACCTTCTGCAATCCAGGTTTCAAAAGTTTAAACTCTGATTCCATTTCCTCCTCTAAGTTTGGATTATATTATTAACAATCTTTGGATCGTACAGGCTGGCATGCTTCTTGCATGTGGACTTAGTTGATGCCTTACTTAGATGAGTGTCTGTTTGAAAACTAGCCTTTAAGATCCCAGATGCTATTCTTTTAGCTAGCCAGGCACTATCTAGTTTCTTCACCACACTTTGCTATATAGCTCCTATATTTTCAAAAGGGTGAGCATCAAGTAAGGCCATCACATCCACACTCTTAGCAAAATCAACAAACAAAAAATAACAAATGCTGGAGAAAATATGGAGTGATTGAAATGCCCATATATTTCTGGTTGAATTGCAGAATTGTACATTATGTAAAAAGTATGCTGTTCCTTAAGCAAAGGTGAATAGAAATACCATCTGGTCCTGCAATCTCTCTACTCAGTACATACCCCAAAGAAATACAAAACAAAACACGAAAACACATATGCACACCCATGTTCATTGCAGCAATTTCTATAATAGCAAAAAGGATGGAAACTACCAAAAACTCCAACTATGGAGAAATGGAAAAATAAATTATGACACCTATGCACAATGGAATGACGCATCCCTAAAAAATGCCAGCCTAACCAAACACCTCATGATAAGAACAAAATAGGAAGACGTGTTAGTCAATCTCATAAAGATAAATATTTTATGACACCATTATTATAAAGAAAAAAAACAAGAAAAATGGTTTTTACACCAAGGGCAAAGACTTTGGAGATGTAGATTGGACAAAGAGGAGGGGGAGAGGAGCAGGAAGGAAGGAGTGGGAAGGAGAAGAAAAATCTGAGGGTTTAAGAACGTAAAGGATTTTTAAGGCTGTGAGCCTCCCTTTTAAAGAAAAAATTTATTTACTTATTTTGGTTTTTAAAGAAAAACGCTCTGCATAGTTGTACAGCCCATCTTAGCAAATCAAATCAGTAACAGTATTGCTTCAACTCCCCACTGTTTTTTTCCCTCTCTCCTGTGTCTCCCTTCTTTGAAAAGATTAATAAAATGGATAAATCTTTGGCAATCCTAACAAAGGAAAGGAACAGGAAAAAACAAATTTTATGAATAATGAATAAAATGGGTGCTATCACAACAGAACTGAGTTTTTTTTTAAAAAATCACACAATACTAGGAAAAATTGTATTCCAACAAATGTGAAAACCTAGAAGAACTAGATATATTTCTATAAGTGCATTATCTACCTAAATTCCAATAAAGTGATTTTTTAAAATCTCAACATGTCTATCTACAAAGAGAAGAAAATAGATCTGGTCATTAAAAAACTCCCAATATCAAAAAGTCCAGGATCAGATAATTTTACTGGGCAATTCTACCAAACACTTAGAGAAGGGTTAACACCAGTCCTACATAAAATATTTCAAATATACTTCCAAACTCATTTTTGAAGCAAGTATAAGTCTGATGTATAAATCAGCCAAAGACATCACAAAATTGAAAATTATAGACCAATATCTGTGATTCTAATAGACACCAAGATTTAAAATAAAATTAAACAACAGAATTTAACAAAGCATTAAAAGATAATGCATCATGAGCAAGTGGGATTCATACTACATATGCAAGGATGGCTAAATATTAGGGGGAAAAATCAATATAATCCACCACATAGACAAAATGAAAGATATGAACCATACAATCATACCAATCAATGCAGAAAGGGCATTTGATAAACTTCTACATCCATTCTTGATAAAAATTCTCAATGAAATAAGAATAGAAGGGAAATTCCTGAACATAATAAAAGCCATAGATGTGAAACCAATGGCCAGCATCTCATTTCATACAGAGAAACTGAAAACATCCCCCCTCCCCTCAAGTGTTATCCAGTGTTTCCAAGTGGTATCCAGTTCTAATCTTCTGGTGCTTGCCTTTTATGTTTTATTTTTCTCTATTCCTAGAGAATTTTCCTCCAGTCACTGAAGGTAGCTGGAGGTCACCCGTGTCATCGCCCTCGTGGAAGCACCTGGGACTCTGTCCTCCTTCAGGTCTGTAGTTCTTTGATCGTGGGAAATCTCGGGTTTGTCGCTCCCTTTCGGTTTTCTTACTCTAGGGTTGTGTACGTATCATCATACTTTTGTCTTTCCAAGCCACCGTTTGAAGGTTTTTCTTCAGGTTTTATTGGTTTTAGCTATTCCGTATTCAAGAGCAAGTTTCAAAGTTTCTTTGAATATCATTTTGGACTTTCCTTTATGGCTTTTAAAAAATATTACTTTTTCTATACTCACCTCTCCAATGCACTGTTTAGTACCCACTTCCCTCCCATCCCTCAACTGTGGAGAGAGGGAGGTCACTGAAGGGTTATCTCCTATGGAGTTCCCACACATGAATCTCGGGCTCCCACTGTCATCCATAGCCTTCTGCAAACCAGATTCTTACAATTTAGCTTCTAATATTAATCCCTCATTCAACTTTGGATTATATTAATACAATCCATTATGGCTTCTTAGTAACCATTCATGTATGATATCCTTGATGTCATTCCACAACTCTTCTAGTCTTCAGTCATTAAGCTTTAGTATATCAAATCTATTTTTGAGATCATTTCAAAGCTCAAGAGGGGTAAACTCAAGGTTGCATTTTGACTCTCATGGACATGTTTTAATTTTCTTCAACTTAATCTGAACTTGCATATGAGCAATTGATGTTTTTTTCCATAGTTGGACCCTATTTAGCTGACGTGAGCTTCTCCATTGACTCTTCACAGATATAGTAGATGTGATTCCTGTGTATTTTATCTAATGAAGTCTATATGTATAGTTGTCTTTTAGGCTGTGAAAAATGTATTTGAATAAGTCATTAGTGTTTCAGAGTCCATCATGCAATCTCTAATGTTTGTATCATCAGGGCCAGATTTTCCAACTACTAATCCTTACTCTTTGTTTCTAACTTTTGCATCACAAGTAATTATCAATGCATATTGATGGCATCATTGACCAACTGCAGACTGAAAAAGTTGGTGTAATTCATTAATTTCTTTGCCATTGGTTTTAGTGGTTGGTGTGTTAATGTGATTAATAGTTGTAATAAACTTGATTTAGCCATTATACTATCACATACAGTACTGTACTTCACAATAAATCCTTAAATGTTCTTTTTGATGATGAGTGCCATGCTATTCCTCTTCAATTTAAAATAGCAAATACCTGTACATTTCAATTTACTAATACCTAGGAAATTGCTTTTTATGCATTCCATTTCATTTTTGATGACTTCAAATTTCCTAGATTCATACTTCACACATTGTACGTTCCAACGGTCACTGAATGTTTGCAGCCCTTTCTAGTTTGTCTTATGTCCCATTAGCAAATTGAGGCCCTGGAAATGTTGCTTCAGCTATGTCACTAGGACTGACTGTACTTTGAGAAGACAGCTATTTCCCAATCACATTCTGAGTGTCTTCCAACATAAGGGACTCACCTTCTAGCACTGTATCAGACAATGTTCTACTGCTAATTATAAGGTTTTAAGTGGACAGGTTTTCAGAAATGGTCCGCCTCTTCCTTATTCATACTCTGTTTTAGATTGGAAATCCCTTGATGCCCTGCTGGTATGTGAAATATGAGTGGCATATCTTCTGGCAGTACAGCCAGCATAGTATGATAAACTGACAGGCATATGATGCGAAAGAACAATATACTGAAGATCAAATAGGATTTATTCTAAGGTTAAAATTTTGAGTGCTATGAAATCTTTAACGTAATTCACAGTGATACCTCAGTTATCGAACTCAACTTGTTCCCAATTTGTGTTCAAACACTGAGAAGTTTGAAAACTGACCACCTGATTGTATGATTTCTGAACCTATTATTAGCCTCTGGTGAGGAGAATAATGATGCCACAGACACTCTCTGTACAAAGTTCACCCCAGCAAGGGAAGTGAGATTTACAAATGAGAAAAGCTATATCATGAAGCACACACTTACGGCAGGAAGAGCTCCAACTCCCTTAGTAAATAAGATAGGGAAAGCTAGATCCAAGCAATGTGCCATGGACCACTATCATGGGAGGGCTGAGTCAAGAGACGGTAGGTTGAAGGTCCCGAAAGTAGAAGGTTGTAAGCCCAAGCATAGGTGAAGAGGACCAAGGAAATTATGGCACTACAGCCAAAGCTCAGGGTTAGGTTCACAAGGGGGAAATCAGCTCAAGTGAGGTTCACATCCGGGGAAAGGCCTGTGATCAAAGGGAAAAACAAAGAAAACCCCGTCTTGAAAGGGAGAAGAGCAACACCAGGACTGTGAGCAGAAAGAACTCCCTACAACATTGAGAAGTGGCCTCGTGGGCTTCGGTGTATAAAGTGGGGACTAGCAGGGCCAAAGAACAGAACGAAGACACTTTTTGGATGGGACCTAGATCTTCAGGCCCCACCTCTCTTTCATGGCAGTCTGGCCTGTGGGAGAAAGCAGCTGCTAATTCAGGCCTGGCATCTGAAACTGCCAAACAAAAAATATGAGGAAACTGCCAAGGAACCCTGAAGGAAGGGATGCTCCCAGTCCTCTTCCTGAAGTGAGGGAGCACCCAGGAATTACCTCCTATCCTTGCATTGTACGCGATGCCCACAATGCAGTATGAGTTGTTGGCTGAGGCAGCAACTTCTCCTGCACACCGAGTACCATGTCTGAAAGACAGGAGGAAACAAAGTTAGAGCTCAAACTGGCAACTTCCAATGAGCTCAATGTGTTGGTCAATTCTCAAAAGAAAAAATAGGCCTTCCAGCAGAGCCCCTTTTCTGTCCCTTCTCATTGACGCCTCCTCTGGCAGCTGCAACCAAGGTAGGTCAGTCAGGCTTCCCACCCTCAGCCCATTGTTTCTTTTCGGTCCACATGGCCTTCCACCATCTTTCAAGTAGGAGTTGCTTGTTCTGGCTGTTTCTTCCAGCTGCTTGTCTCTTCCAGGAAAACTTCTCTGTCCCCCACCCGGGTCACTGTTCAGAGCTCCTGTTCCAAGTGCTGAGAGTTCAGGCTCCTGCCTCCTAGAAACTTTGGTCGGTACACTGGCCTGCAGTTTAGCAGCTGCTAGGGGCCACTTGAGCTGCGTGTCATGTTTGCTGTGAGTAACATAGTGCTTGGCACACAGTACATCATAAAGATTTTAAGGGCAGTATGAAAGAAAGATAGCAAATGGATACGTTTTGCTTACCTCAGGACAGTTCTCTCACTCTTTTCTTGGCCACCGTAAGTACAGGCCAGGGAAGAAATCTCTAAACTGAATATGCAACAGCAACTAGGGGTTCATGAACAAATGAACCCCCTCCCCAATGCTTTTCAGTAACGATGCCGTTTTCCAATTGACTGCACAAGTCAATTCTTCTGACATAGGTCAAAGTATAGGTGACTTTAAACAGCATGTCTTTCTTTGAAGAGTCCCCAGGGATTGCTATCATTGATTCAAATTTAAAACCATCTTTAAAAATAGACCTGGCCTGTGAGTCAGCTCTGTGGAATAAAGTCATCTTTATTTTCTGGAGCCCACATAGCACAGTGACCCAGGCTCTCACACCCAGATTCAGTATTGCCCTTCAAGGGTCATTTAATTATCTGGATAATTTCTCCCTGCCCTCTGAAGTTATGACCTGAATTCAGGTTCTCTTTGTTCCAGGTATTGTTAGTACCACTGAGTGGGAAAGGTAGTTTGACATCTGAGCAGGAGAGCTAGTGCCTCTGGGATTCTGGGAGACCCTAGAGTTGCTTTGTTAAGCACATGAGCCCAGCCCAATCTTTCTGCACAGTGACATCTGGGCACTGATATCTGAGCTACAGAGTTTACTCCACTGAAAACTACAACAATATGGAGGAAGGACACACCTTACCAAGCATCATGTCAACAGTGGGGAATAAAGGCAAATATTTGTGAAGGAATGGTATGAAGTCAAGCTGTGTGATGTTCCAATAGAAGAAGGACATGTTGAGCACAGTAAATGACTCACAGAATCAGGATTTGGGAGCCTGGGCTCTAACTCCAGGGTAGGTGTCATAGATGTTGCACACATGACCTCACCACTCAAGCCCCACTGCCTGCATGTGCTCAGGGATAACTATCATAACCACTATTTACAGAGCCCTGCCTCCTACAAGGTACTCACATATCTCATGCTTCACAACCATCTTCTGACTCACAGAAATTCTGTAGAATAGAATAGAACTGCTCCAGAGGATTTCTTAGGCTGTAATCTTTATGGGAGCAGCCAGCCTCATCTTTCCTCTGTGGAGCTGCGGGTGGATTCAAATGCCTGCCTATCTTTTAAATAGATATTTAGCACTTTAACTACTTCCTTCTCCTTAACCAGGAATACTTCCAATTAGGGCAAATGGCTATTTTAAAGCAGCAAGTCATGAAGCCCACTGGATCTAAAAGCTTTCTATTTGTTTACAAATATTCAAACACAGTACAAAAAAATCATATCAGTGGGTTGCCCACCTTCCCGATATGATCACTGAAGACAAATGTGTGCATAAGCAAATGTGGTGAAGAAAGCTGATGGTGCCCGGCTATCAAAAGATATAACGTCTGGGGTCTTAAAGGCTTGAAGATAAACAAGCAGCCATCTAACAGAGAAGCAACAAAGCCCACCTGGAAGAAGCACCAGGCTGTGTGATCATGAGGTGTCAAAGGGATGAGGTATCAGGCATCAAAGAACAAAAATTCATATCATTGTAAATGAGGGTGAGTGCAGAGTGGAGACCTAAAGCCAATCTGTAAGCAACTGGACACCCCCTTACAGAAGGGTCGTGGGGAGGAGACAAGCCAGTCAGGTTGCAGAGTAGCAACGATGAAACATGTAATTTTCCTCTAGTTCTTAAATGCTTCTTCCCCCTACTATCATGATCCCAATTCTACCTTACAAATCTGGCTAGACCAGAGGATGTACATTGGTACAGATAGGAACTGGAAACACAGGGAATCCAGGACAGATGACCCCTTCAGGACGTGGTGAGAGTGGCGTTACCAGGAGGGTGGAGCGAAGGTGGGGTAGAAAGGGGGAACCGATTAAAAGCAACTACATATAACCTCCTCCCTGGGGGATGGACAACAGAAAAGTGGGTGAAGGGAGACATCAGACAGTGTAAGATATGACAAAATAATAATAATTTATAAATTATCAAGGGTTCATGAGGGAGGGGGGGGAAATGAGGAGCTGATATTAAGGGCTCAAATAAAAAGCAAATATTTTGAGAATGATCATGGCAACAAATGTACAAATGTGCTTGACACAATGGATGTGTGTATGGATTGTGATAAGAATTGTACAAGTCCCCAATAAAATTATTTTTTAAAAACAGCCAAACAAAATTGGAAACAGAAAAAATATTGGTAACATCCACTTCAAGCTGACCAGTAGACGAGATACTCCCAAAGGAAGAGAATGAGTTCACAAGGGCTACAAGTTTGAGGCTTCCAACTCCCGGAGGAGACCTGGCCAAGCCCTGTGCAGACAAGGAAGTGCCTACCTCTTCACCCCTTGCTAGGATCACTTCTGTGGGAAAAACCATCAGTGATTCTGCAGGGAGAAGAAAAAAGGAGACAAGAAAGGAGGAGACAAAATGGCATACTTATTTTCATTGCTGGCATCATAACGTGGAGATGGGTCATAATCATTTCCATTGACATCATAGCTTGCATAGGAGTCCTAAGAGTGAATGACACAGCATGTTGAAGCCGTTTTAAAAGATCATTTTACTTCTATTGGAAAACAGAGAAACACAAACATGGTACTACCTGATGCTAACATTTTCTATTTTTAATATGTTGCTTTTGTTATCATAGTACTCCAAATTTTGTCTTCTTTTAATACATATCGTAAAAGCTTAGACAGTCTTCAATATTAATCTTTTCAATGACTACAGGATTATCTACAAGCAGATACAATATAACTTATTTTAAAATTGCTAGGTATCTAGAATCCTTATGTTTAATGTGCTTATCACACTTACTGTATGTCAAGCTGTTCTTTATATTAACTCATATATAATTCTGTTAACTCATTTAACACTAACTGTATAAGATAGTAGGCCTAATTTTAACACCATTTTAAAGATGATGAAACTGAGGCACAGGTAAGTTAAGCAATTTGCCCAACATCACAGAGCTAATAAGTAGCAGAGTCAGGAAAGGAATCCAGCAAGCTTGGGTCCAGAACACAAAAACTTTTAAAGCAGTAATATTTCTTGTTGCTAATAATCATGTGATGGCCATTTTCATGTATGGAGTGTCTTCATTCTTTCAGCTCCTCAAACACGGACAAATGACTCTGCAAAGTTCCTCTTCCTCAAAGGTACGTGTGTGTTTCACCAATTCTTCCCAGCTTGGGTTTCCTTATTGCCTAATTGCTTTTCAATTTATATGATTAAGTTGTTAGCACGGTTGAATATACTTGCATGTGAGTTCTGAGGCTTGACTTACATAGTTTGGGGCCAGGTCAGGGTGATTCCTCTCTATGCCATCATCAAGGATGGTGACCACCACATTTTTCCCTGTGTAGCCTCTCTTCCATGCAGACTGGACATTCATCTCTGATCGGCATCGACTGCTCTTGTCATCACAATGCTGTATACACAGAAGAAACAAAGACCCCTGTTAGGAACTGGATTGTGTGCTCCAAAAAGATATGTTAAAATCCTAAAACCTGATACTTGTGAATGTGACCTTGCTTGGAAAATGTTATCAGTTAAATTACAGGTTGTAATCCATTTGAGTGGTAACCTTGAAAAAGAGACATAAAAAGACAGAGGAAGGAAGCCCACATGAATACGTATCTATATGCGAAGGAATGCTTAAGGCTAGAAGATTTTAGGTGAGACAAGAAATGATCTTTCCTTAGAGGCTTCAGAGAGAACTTGGCCAGGCTCACATGCTGATTTGGAACTCTGGTCTCCAGAATTGTGAGACAATACATTTTTGTCCTTATCAGTCACCTATGGACTACCTCATTGCTTTTATTTTATATTATTTAGTTATTAGCATAGTTGAATATACTTGTATGTGAGTTCTATGGCTTGACTTACATTGTTCTGGGCCAGGTCAGGGTGATTCCTAGGATCACTGTGTGTTAGATGTTGGGCTGCTCACTACAAGGTCAATGGTTCAAATCCACCAAGGGAGGAAGATAAAAGTATCAGTTCCATTTAGGAGTTATAGTCCTGGAAACTCTATATTGGGTTGTTATAAGTTGTACCTGACTCGATGGTAGTGAGTTTGGTTCGGGTTTTAGTAAGCTACCTAGTTTATGGTATTTAAAAATATTTTTATTGGCATATAAATCATATATCCTACAATTTAATAGTTCAAACATATTAAGACTTGTGTAATCATCACCACAATCAATTTCAGAACGTTTTCTTCTTTCTTGTAGACAATATTGTTAGCTACCCATTCCCCACCAACTTCCCTTGCTATGGTTCTAGGTAGTTATTAATACAGTTGTTTCTATAGATTTACCTATTCTGGATTTCATCTACAGAAAAAAATATGTAAAACAAAAATACATTGACAAAATGAAACAGAGAAAAAGCTCAAGAGAAAATAAAGCAGAAAATACTAACTGAACTTTAAACTGGGTCAAAAGCGAGATAAGTGATAAAGTGCTACATCTTACCTAAACTACCTCTGCCATAATCGACTTTACAATGGTCTCTGTCTGAAAGCAAGGCTATTCACCTCTCTAGACTATGGTCAGAGAGGATTCACTAGAAGCTTAATCCATGTGGGAACCCAGCAAATGAATTTGGGCTTTCACTGTCATGTATAGCCTTTTGCAAAATGGGAGTTCAGAATTTAAATTGTGATAACATTCCCTCCTCTGGATGGATCTGGACTGATTACAGTGAACCCTCACCACTTCGCGCTTTGACTTCCGCGGCTTCACTCTATCGCGGTTTTTGCGTAACAGCACCCACTGCCTACACCCGCTCCTTCAGAGGAAAAAGACGGCGACCCACCTGTGGAGTACATCCCTTAAGTCATTTCATAGGCTATTGATTACAGTATTTGTAAGAACTATGTATAATAATACTGTATGTGAAATATGTAATACTGTAAACTAGATGCCATAAATAATATAATAAATAATAAATGATAATTGTAACGTCCAAAATGTTTTACTGTATTTTCCCTTTTTCGTTTAATAAATTGGGTAATACGAGTGTAATGGTGACTAAAAGGTGTTTTTTCATGTCCTCTATGCTCTAACTACGAAAATATTTGATTTACAAATAAGGAATCCTACTTCGCGGAATTTCATTTATCACGGTAGGGTCTAGAACCGATTAACCGCGATAAATGAGGGTTCACTGTATTTAGTTATAATCCTTGGCTCACACAGGCTGGTGTGCTTCTTCCATGTGGACTTAGTTGACACCTCACATAGATGGCTTCTTCCTTTAAGACAACCTCAGACACTATTCTTTCTGATAGCTGGGTATCAACTATTTCTTCACCACCCTTTGATATAGCATCCATATCTTCAGTGATCTCTTCATGAGGGTAAATATTGAGTACAGTCACATCATAACAATTCATTGTTTTTGGATTAGGGCTACTATTAAGTATGAACCCCAAATCCATTCATATCTATGAATGTCTCTGGCTCTCAACAAGATGGACTGACATTGGCTGCCACAATGGGTTCAAGCACAGGCACCATTGTGAGGATGGCGCAGGACCAGACAGTCTTTCATTCTGTTGTGCACACGGTCACTAGAGGTCAGAACTGACTTGATGGCATCTGAAAACAACAACTAGTTCACTTTAGCGACATCATTATCATTTTATAATAGAGAACATTATCAATCACCCCCATGGGGCATAAGGTAATTCTATTAATTTAATTTAGCCAATTGTATAGAATTTAAAACACTGTTGAGAAAAGCAAATTATACATGTAAAGGCTGGATGATTTTCAGACTGAAATATATGAATTGTTGACTTGTACAGAATGAAAGTTTACTGAGTGGCGACAATATTTACACAACCAATGAGGGTTGAGGGTAGGGCAGAATTTCAATAACATTTATTCACAAAGGCAGAACAATGCCAGCCAGACTAATACACGTCATAAAGGAACAAAGCGAGCATGAAAAGAGTAAATAAAAAAGAGTCCATTCATTGGACACCCTCAAAGCAAGAGATCCAAACCCAAGTCCAATGACTGGAAATTCCGTAACTTTGGGACGGCACTCCTCTCCTTCATTTCACACTACGGTCTCTCAGCCCTAGGTCCAAGAAAGCGTGTCAGTCCTTAAATCTGCTAGGAGTCGGAAGTAAAGCCCAGTTCACTTAGTAGGATTTCCATAGGCTACAACTACAGGAACAGATTGGGAAATCATACAATGAAGCAGGGGTCCTCAAACTTTTTAAACAGGGGGCCAGCTCACTGTTCCTCAGACCCGTTGGAGGGCCAGACTATAGTTAAAAAAAGCACAACAAACTATGAACAAATTCCTATGCACACTGGACATATCTTATTTTGAAGTAAAAAACAAAACAGGGCAAAAAGACCCGGCGGCCTGGATAAATGTCCTTGGCGGGCCACATGTGGCCCGTGGGCCACAGTTTGAGGACCCCTGCTGAAGAATAGTGTGCACCTGGAAAGGATAGAGTGTATGGTCCCAGTTGTCTATAGCACTCAGCCTGGGTCAAAAGGGCTAAATAGAAACTAGGTCAAAAGTTTCCAATACATAATACTGGAGTATTCTCCCATTGGGGTCTACATAAGTATTGTTACATATTTCTCCCTTGTTTACCTCCAGTCATAATTGTTATAGTCTTCTCTGAGACAGATATGTCCTCTCCCTTCGTCCCCATCTGCACCACTACCACCTCTTGCCTTGAATTTTCAGTAAGGATTGCTAATCACTCTTAGGAGTGTTTGCTGACTTGGGGTGACCTTAGTACAATGTTGTATAGCCACAACGGAACAGTCTTCTTCCTCTCTCTCCATCTTGATCATCTGACCCCAGCTGAGCTGAAGTTTCATCCATTGAAGCTATTTTTAAGATGTATAAATAAAGGATATGATCTATCGTTCATGGGCACTAGGTAGGCTCACTACCTCATTGCTTGGGAGACAAGATTAGAATATTACCTATTTTGAGGGCAAAGTTTGTCTTTGTCTTGGTGACTAACTTTATAGTAATGGACTCACATTATTTTTCCTTTTGTGACTAACATCACTCAGCTTAATGGCTTCCAGGTCCATCCATGTCATGAGGCCTTTCATGATTTCATCACTGTTTTTAGGGTTGTATAATATTTCATTGCATGTATCAGAGGTTTTTTTTTTATCCATTCTTCTACTGATAGGTATTTGGGCTGTTTCCAGCTTCTTACTATTGTGAACTGTGTTGCAATGAACATGAGAGAGCATTCGTATGCTTGTGTTGTCTTTTACTTCTTAGATATGTATAGTCCCAGTAAAGGTACTGCTAGATCATATAGTATTTCTAATTCCCAGTAGTTTTAGGTAGCACCATTATCACTTTCTACAATGGTTAAACATGTTTACAAGGCCACCAGCAGTTATAAGAGTTCCAATCTTTCTGCATCCTCTTCAACATTTGTTCTTCTCTGTTTTTTTGAATGGGGCTATCATTTTGAGTGGACGTGGTATATCATCGTTTGATTCACACCTCCTGGATTGCTAGTGATAACAAGCATTTCCTTATGTGCTTATTAAGCATTCAAGTGTCATCCTTGGTGGATTGTTTACTCATGTGCTTTACCCAGCTTTTACTAGAATTATTTGTTTTGTTTTTTATTTTATTGACGAGTTCCAGAATTCTACAGTTTTAGTAATTAGTCCCTTTTCTGCTGTGTCATTGCTAAAGATTTTTTCCCAATCCATGAGCTCTCATTTTACTTTTCTGATGAAGTTGTTTGATGTACATGTTTTGTTTTTAATAGGTCTCAGTCATCTATTTTGTGTCCTACTGTGTGTTTCCTTTATTGTATTTGGTAGTATGGACCTGCCCTGTTATCAAGTTCGATCCAGCATAATCAAGATTACATTGGTTTCTGCCTGATAGTAAGGCTGTTCGAGACTCTTGCCTTTGGCCAGAACAAATGTGCCAGCAGCTCAGTCTGACTACATACTCTACAGATGGGTTTTGGGCTCTGTCCTCCATAGGCTTTTACAAATTGGGTGTTCCTAACTAGCTCTGATACTTTTCCTTTCACCGTATTCAAATTTTGTAATTATCATCTTTGGATCACACAGGCTGGTGTGCTTCTTCCATATAGACTTAGTTGACTCCTTGCTTAGATGGCTGTTGGTTCGAATACAAGCCTTTAAGACCCCAGACACTATTTCAATTGATAGCCAGGCACCATCTACTTTCTTCGCCATATTTTGCTGTAGCACCCTTATCTTCAGTGATCATTGTGTAAAGGTGAGTTATCGAGCAAGGCCGTGATATAAGAACTAATTGTTATTAAGTTAGAATTAGGATTTAGTGTGAATCTAAAACCCATGACTGAATCCATGCTTTGTTACTGTTGTTGTTGTTGTTGTTGTACCTTGGGAGTTGATACATATCATTCCATGGTTCCAA